AAAAAAAAAACACAACCAAACAAGCAACGAAGCACATTGAAAAAACCATTAAATTCAACATCTGTTCCTTGGTTACTGATCATCTCCCCTTGTTAGCTGTGTGAATAGTTTGCCAAAAATCTAAGCATGTTCCTCTGCATTAGGTAACAGCATTTGTTATTCTCAAGCCAGTGTTAAATTGCAGAAAGTCAAATTAGCCTCAGACTGCAAAACGTTGCTGAATAGACCTCCTCAGTCTTAGTTTAATTATTCAAATTTGAATTACTTTGTCTGTATTACTTCCAGCAACCACGTTGTTCAGATCTCAAACAAGCTCCCTGAAGTACAGTTAGCACAATCAAAGTTACTCATTAGCAATACGTTTCCTTTGAAAAAAGTTCTTTTGCTTGCTTTTTCTATAGCCAGTTAACAAGCTCTGCCATTCCTGGCTTTTCACAAGAGAATGGATGCCATCCAAACTAAACACAGCACATCCTTTTTCCCACTCATTCAGCATTTTGAAAATCTTCCAGTTTGTGTTTACGCAGCTTACAAACAAATACTGATCACTGCAAATGAGCCATTCAGGGCAATTACTAAGAGAGTCAGTTTGTCTTGGGTGGCAAGAGAGAGAGGAGGGGCCATCCCCATCCCAGACTGCACCTTACCTTTGTCATAGTTGTGTCATCCTTCCTGGGAGTGAAATTCTCAAAGAAACGAAGACTGTAGAAGCCGACGACAGAGGATACCATAAGATAGCTGTGAGAATCAAGGAAAAATGAACCTCCAAGGAATGCAAGTTTCACTCAAGTTCTCAGCAGCCACCTAAAAGTTTTAAGAACTAAAGGAAAAAACAAAAACACTTCTAGTGTTTTAAAAGGACTGACCTATCTCTCTTCTTTGCAGGCAGGTGTCTTAGTAAATTACCAGTGTCCCAGAAAACTAGAGAGAATACTTGTTAACAGACAGAACTCTTAGAGAAAGGATACAAAATCAAAATGATTTCAAGTGCTGCTCCCACAAAACCAAAGGTGGATAGGGATGCATTTCCTATTCCAGGTCCCTACAAGGAAAAAAAATAAATTTGTATAATTTAGTAAGACACATGAAACAGTTCATAAAGTTAACTTCTACCAGGAAAAAAAAGAAAAAAATAAAAAAAACCTAAAGTTAACTTCTACCAGGAAAAAAAAAAAGAAGAAAATAAAAAAAAAACTAACATCTTACATGAAATGCAGCCTTTTCTGAATTCAGTGTTTAAGGGCTGTTGTGATCTCCTAACCTGCAAGTTCCCCATCCCATGCAATGGTATCAGCAGCTTTCAAACTGCAGTGAAATGTATGACTAGGCCAGAAGAGGTAATGACTCAATTGGGATGCACACTGCATCTACACACCAGGCTGTGCTTTATACACAGTCCACTGCTCTGGAAACTAAAATAAGATGTCTCAAAGTTACACAATTACAGTTATTTGCAACCACACAGGTAAAGTGGCTATCACCACTGAACACCTCATACAGCTCTGCAAACTCATACCCAGTTAAACATAGGGCAAAGCATGAAAACATCCCTCATGACTAAAGGCAGTACTAGTCAACGTGTTGTTCTTTACTTACTTCAAGTATTTTTATAGTAAAGAAGTGGAAAATGTCATGTTTTCTGAGGGGAACACAAAAGACAAGCTTTTCATATTGGTTTTAACCACAGTTTCTTAAACTGAACATTTCCAGTCTGTATAAAAGTAGGAAACATAAGTAAAATGCAAACTCCAGATTACAGATTTGCTTTAGTGAATCCCTGTATATACATAAGCTTCTGCACTAGATTTATTAAAAAACTCACTCTAACATGACACGTAATAAATGTTTGTGCATGCACAGGAATAAAACCCAGAAGCAAAGTCAAGGTTGAGGCTCACTAGTTTCTTTGGTATTAAAGCACTCACTTAATTAAAGTTCTCACTTGCACTTCTCTAAGGGGTCCAAAGCTTTATTAAAGTTATGAAAAATCTCACTTGCACTTCTCTAAGGGGTCCAGAGCTTTATTAAAGTTAAGAAAATGATAAGAGAAGTTTACTTTACCCCTGATCCCTTTGGCATTGCAGTCTCATCAACCAACAGGTAAAGAATGTTGAGAGCAACTAAGAGAACTGAGATGGACTATAAAGAAGTAGAAACAGTTGTTATTTAAAAGTATTCTACATTTTAAAACTTATACATTTATCCCCACCAGACTTCACAATGTCAACTTCACCTAAAATGGTCAAGAAAATCGAGATTGTCGCTTAAACACTTTACCCCAAAATTTTAAAATTATTCCCCCAAATGACCAAAGAACTCTTCATAATTTTTTGGGGAAATAGAAAAAGGGGAAAATAAGGAGCAAAAATTCTTACAGTCTCAATTAGTAGCAATATCATCACAGCTGGATAGACTAAATTCCTTTCCCAAGCAGAAGCTTTTTTCCTCCGTTCTGTTCAAAAGAGAAAAAAACCCAGAAGCTTAATGCAATAGATCACCTTGGAATAAAACAAGAATCATTCAGTTTCTATAAGCTCTTGTTATAACTATAGGTAGCAACAGTAACCTTATCTGGAATAAACACCAACCAGCTCATAAAAGCATCCACCCTACAGAGCTGTACCAAGCAATGCCAAAAACATGAAGCTTCTTTAGAGAAAGACTGAGGAGACAGAGACAAGCAGATTTTTCTCTCTTGTTTACAGGCATGTTTCACCATAGCTTTTTTTCTTCCCCTGGCACACAGCACTTCTACAAAGTCTAAAAGATACTGAATTTTAAAATGTGCTGTTTACATGTGCATTTTAGCATGGCCTAAAGGAATAGAACAGAATTTCAGATATTTAAACAGTATTTTTTTCTTGTAAGGCAAGAAAGACAAGTCTAACTTCACTAGACATCACCTGCATGTGCAAAAAGACCAAACAACTTTTTCTTACCACAGTCTTAGTTTTGCACATAACACACTGACAAATGCAAAAATCCCACAAACCTTTAAACAAGTAAGGAAATCCCTGTTCAGCTGCTGCCATTACCAGAAGTATCACTTTTCACTTTTACAGGACACAAACTTGCTAAGAATTATTTTACTGTTCTTAAACACAATTTGACTTTTATAGAACTAATTCAAAATCAGAAAGGAAAGTAATGGACTTAGATTAACCCAAATAATCATAAGCATCTTATTACATATGAAAAGACCATGGTATTGAGCTCCAAGCAAGGAAGCCAAGTGTTACAATTTCTCTAAAATTATGCTAAAAATAAGATCCAAATCAGACTCCCTACTTACATTTGTTTGTTGGAAGGGCACAATGATTCCACATACTGTATTTATAGAAACTATGATAATATGAAGGGCACAAATTCAGTTAAGAATAAACTGGAATCAATCAAGTGACCACCACAAGCTAAACACAGCACCTTAAGGTCATTTATTAAACTATAATCGACATAAAACACTGGAGAGAAGTTTATTACCTAGATTTGTTTTCTTGCTTTTCACTTTTTCAAGCTCCCGTTCCAGCTCTACTGTTTGGTATTCCACCATGGAAGAGACACCTTTTAAAACAGAAGACAGTGTTTTGGATGAGACTGACTATAGTACTGTAAGACACAACTGTGACAATTCAGATTTAGAAAGCATCACATTAACAATTGTGACTTCAAACTGCAGGTGTTTCCATAAGGCTCTTCAACTCCATTTCAAAACACAGAGGTTTAGTCAAGAACTTCTAATTCTGTCTAATCAGAAGTATTGAGCACATCAGAGGTTTCAGTGTGATCCCTGTGATCCCACACTGTCGTGCTGGGAACAGCTACTGCTGAGCTGTCACACAGGAACACAACCAGACATGGTGTAACAGATGTCTCCAATGCCTCATTCTTACATCGCTATACGATTCTTGCATCAAGATGTAAAGAATCTCTGGATGCCTTTCAAGGGCATTATTATTTAGCAACTTAAAGGCAAAGTGGCTCCTCTTTTCCAGTACAAGCACACTGTGTTTTCCCTCCTTGATGCCAGTTCCTCTACAAACACTGCACACCAGACCTCAGAGCTGACTACACATCTCCTGGTTTAGTTCCTATCTCATCCTTTAACTGTTACTCTCTGCAATTACAAACTGGAAATATTCTTCCTGGGATCAATGAGAAACTCTCCATGCACCTTTGCTCCACTTTCATCCCTTTTATTTCTGAATAATCTCACCTGAAAATAAGTTAAGAGGGCTCATATTTCCCCTGTCTTACTCTGCAAAACACACCTGTGGTAGTGACAGTTCAAGGCCTTAACAAATCCAAAGTCCTCTCTGTTTATCATCTTTCTCCATTTACATTCACACCCTTCACCTGTTGGCCAATCCCTACCCTCAGCCTCACCCCTGGCTGTGGGCTAACCTGAAACAGCACCATGCTCCAGATATATCAATTTATTAGAGTGTGCCTAAAAATAGCTGAAATTAATATTCTTGTCCAGGCTTTTATTTCATATCTTGATCATTTGCCGACAAAAACTAAACAGCACTTAGGCTGCTGGCACACTAGCACTGCTTTGTAGTCCAGTCTCATTATTTCCTTGTTTTCTGTTGTTTGCTCATCCATCCAGCAATTTCAGTACAAGAAAAGAGGGTTATACTTTTTATGGCAGAGTATTAATACTGATTTGTTCAATGCAATCAAATCATCCATAAAACATCTGTTTCAAAAATTAATTTTTAAATGTTTAATCAAATGTTTCTTCCACACACATTTTTGCATATAACACATAACCTCTGGGCTATGCCTCAACATTTATCTTGGATATTAGTGACATAATGGGTACAGCTAATATTTACAGGGCTTCAAATATATTAATCTCTTTAATCCCAGGACTAACCAGTAAGACCTACAAATGCTGTTCTGTAACAATTTCTATTCATTTGAAGTGCCTAAAATATGAAAGTCTGTTTAATTTCTCAATTTTTTTAAAGTAAGTAATCATAACACACAGGTTCCTAGGGAAAAGTTTGGTCTTTTAAAAAAAATAAAAGGGGGGGGCAAATTATCATTATATAAGTAAGTTTTGTGCTGATGCATTTCCTCCAAAAAAACGTGTAAACCATCTGTTTTATGGAATGACTAATTACTGTGAGGTGGGAAAAAGGATAGCTATAGAGCTCAGTGGGAAAAGAACTTTAATGGGAGCAGTTGAAAAAGAAGGAAAACTCAAGTAAGTATCTGATATTTTGTCTTCTCCACAAGTGATTTAGGGGTCTCTGAGGAAAAGCTCAGTTCAATATATATGTTGTTTTCTCCCCTCGATATAAAAATCCAGAGCTCAAAACACTGATTTCATGGGAACCTTTCCAACCAAGTCCGTGTGATCACATTAAGTCCCAAAGAGACACGCCAGTAGAAATTCTGAATCATATCTAAGTGCTGTTGTAGTTCCTCCTTAAAAATAGCTGCAAACAACAGGTTGCTATACAAAAGGATATTTTACAAGAGGGGTAGGCAAAGTTTCAGATCAGTCAAAAGAGTATTTGAAAAGGATGCAGCTAAATTCTTAAAAGCTCTCTAACATTAGCTTTATTTCAAACACGCACAAAGTTCAATGTCAGCGCTGTCTAGCCAATAAATCAAATTGGTAGACGAGACTTGTTTGGACTAGCAATGAAAAGTTAGAAGGGATTCTCCAAGAAAGCCACAAAGCAGCTCATTTAAGGTCAATTTAACGGTATTATTCTGTTTTTCTTCCAGCCCCGACATAAGATTTCAGTACCTCAAAGGAAATTGTAAGAGTATCTATTTGCATTCCCCCTAGGTGATTGGCAGTTCAACACCAATTAGTTCAAAATTACACTGTTACTAGCGTGCAATAAAAACAACACCTTTCATCTTTCTTACATAGGTAAGGATACCTTCAGAGCCAATAACTTTGATCAAGTAAGTATTTTTGATCCTACCCCACCCGTCTCTTTGGATTCAGGAAAACTAATAGCTGAAGGCAACTTTTTTCTTTTAATATAAAAAAGTCCCAGCTTTATTCTTCGACTGTAGGAGTGATGTGGGTACTGAAATATAATACACTGGAAACAAACATTTTCCCAAAGCCCAGTATCTCTTCAATAGATAAAAATACTAGGGTAGATAACACGATCAAACTTTTCCCTCCCTCCTCCTCTGAATTTCAGTTAGACACTGCAGACACCTGAGGAGGAAGAAAATTAGTTCCCACAAAGGAGATCTACACTTTCACAGTTAGATTTATTTTCAAATATCTAGCGCTTCACAGTCATCAAGTATCACTTAAGCCTCTGCTCTGGTCCTCTTCACTTTTCATAAAAATTCAACTCTTTGGCTATATGTATAAATGAAGTATATATTTTGGAGACTTTACTGCAAACCTGCCCAGCAGGGTTACTTCAGCACACAGATTTCGACCACCACAACTGTGGAAGGGTTGCAACAGCCACAGCACAGAATTGTGCAGCTGAATGTATCTGCTCTGACACAGCACCACGAAGACTTACACAATCTATGTGTTAAGACACAGATTATGGCTCCTAACATCAGAGCACTACATTTACTGATGCACCACCTCCATTTGTACACTTTTTTTTTTAAATGCAATAAACATGGTAAACATGATCCTTCATAGTTCTGCAATAATGATGTCTATTTTTCGGGCATAATTTGCATGTATTAGGAAGACTTCTGGAAGAGAAGATCAAGCTTTCCATGCTTGCCATGTAAGTAAGAACTATACTTAAGTTTACTTAAGAAACTACTCAGAAAAATCCTGCAGAGTATCTCCTTGCACATATATTGCCCCAACCTACATGCTAAGTTTAGATTTTCTTCTACTTTTCAGCCCAAGGCCATTAATTTTCTCTGTACATCAAATGATGGGTTTTCAAGCATTGCTTCAGATTGGGGTGCCAATGCCATTCCCTCAGCATGGAAAACAGGGCAATTCAGTTCCCTCTCCTGTCACA